GCTACATACTTGCTGGTAAATCTAAAGGAGATTGTACAAGCAGATCGTAACGTCTGGTGTCCCGACATGCGAGAACACAAGTTGCTCTTTAGCTGTGGTGCCATAAAGATTCCAGGGCTTTTATTTTGCAGGTAGGGCAGCCCATTAAAATGAGTGGACTGCCCTACCCACAGAACACGGCCCCTAATACGAACAAAGCCTAGAGCGACTTATCTTGTCTTCTCTTCCTGTTGACATTTCACCAGACAGAAAGTAAGGGGATCTCTAGTACAACTAAATTGAAGTAAAACTTATGTTCTTTATTAGAGAAGGGAAAGTCTAGTCTTTGACTGTTTATTGGTTGCAGATTTGCCCTCACTTCCTGTCAGGTGACACTATTGTCAGCAGAACAGGAAGTGAGAGGACGTTTTCTTACCAAGCTCTAAATAGCAGCACAAAAAAGCACAGGGATTGTGATTCTTCTCTAGTGTATCCAAAACTGGCTTGGTATATACTTTAGCTGGTTGGTTTTTTGACTGAGTGCATCATATTTTTTTTATGCAATGCCCTTTTCAATAGCTGCTTTTCATCTTCGGATTCATTTATGATCTTGTGTGTGTGTATGTATGTATGTATATATATATATATATATATATATATATATATATATATATATATATATATATATATATATATGTGTGTGTGTATATATATTATAGTGTATGTGTGTGTGTGTGTGTATATATATCAAGCACATACTGAGTGCCATATCACATTTGAGAATGATTCACAGTATATCATAGCTCCAGCCAGCAAGGAAAGTGTGAAAGTAGCTATTTGTTGGCAGTCGATGGTGAATTGTTCTTTGAAAAGTTAAGATGTCCATGATTTCTGATTCATCTGGCCTATTTCTCCATTGTAAACCTTTGGCCCATAAAATCCAGGTGGTGTCCAGGCTTAACGCTGATCTACAGGTTTCCTATGACTTTAAATAGCTCATTTGGACCAAGTTAGTCCAAATAAACTATATTTCCTTCACAAGGGTCTGCTGTGTCTCTAAGCACTGTATGTACTGCATGTAGCTTCAGCTAGGTAGAGTACACGGTGCCAGGTTCTGGATGTTAGACAGAAACTTCCCAACTCACATCTGAAATAAAATAGTTGGTCTGAGCAGTGGTCAGTCATTCATAGGCTGCTTTGTATTTTCTGAATGAATACAAAGCTTCCTCTGGCTGAGGCGGAGATTGTGACATCATTGGCCTGCCTCTCCACCTCAGCCAGTCAGAGGAAGCTTTGTATTCATTCACATAAAACAAAGCTCCCTATGAATGGCTGAGTGCGCCACTCAGACGGACTGTTTTGTTTTTTGATGTGAGATGGGAAGCCTCTGTCTCACAGCTGGAAGCCAGCACTGTGTACTGTAATGTAGTGTCTAGCAGAAGCTACACATAGTACATACAGTGCTTGGAGACACTGCAGCACATAGTGAAGGAAATAGTTTGGACCAGGTTGGTCCAAACAAACTACTTAAAATTTCAGAAAACCTTTAATCAGATTTAATGAACCAAACTCAGATGAGGTTTTGGTTAGGCAAAGGTGGTGCTTTTGACAATGTAGTGCCACCAGTAATTGCTCATGTGTTGATTTCTACTTGGTTAAAGTGTTACTAAACCCAGGACCCCGCATTCACTCTATCTGGTGTCTCACTGTACATGGAAATGCAATTATTTTAGTAAATATGAACTGCTAAATACCTTTTCTCATCAGCAGTTAGAGCAGTCTTGTGACTTCTAGCAGTGTCCAGCCAAGCACTGGTTAAAGCTTGTAGGAGGAGTTTTCTTTCTGCTCTAGGAGGATGCAGAACCCCTGACCTCCACCTTGACAGTGCTGATTGGCCCTGTGCTGATCGCATGCACTCTCCCAAGAAAATATAAATCCTCTCTAGCAGTACACACTAAACTGAGCATGTGCATAGTGCCGCCAAGCGATATGGAGATTGAGGGGGGGGGGGGCGCACACTGGAAAAAGGGGAGGATCAGAGAAGTCTGGATCAAATATCCTTTTTATACAATGCAGATGATTAACCCCTTAGGTTCCACAGTGAGTATAACAAGCATGCTTTACTCCATATACAGACTGATTTTACTGTTGTGGGTTTAGTAACACTTTAATACATGTTGTGGCTGGCCTTGCACATGGTGTCCAGGACTAAGAAAGCAGAGTGGACCTATGTTTCCTAAACCTTATATGCTGCTTCTTGGTTGGTGTTTTATGAGGTGCTTATGCACATATCAGAGACTGAATTCTGCTACATGTATACAAATCTGTGTTTTCACATACTTGAGCCCGGGCTGGACAAATAAACAGGGAATGTCTGTCCAATTGACGAGCCAGCTGGAAATAGGTTTTTTTTTTCTTTTTATAGGAGCCAGCTCCGTGCCAATGAGAAAAGAAAAACCCTAAAATGTTAGGTGCCCGGTGTAATTTTTAAGGCGCATTGGTTACATAGCTCCTGAGATTTGCTCACTCTGCTTGACTAAATGGGGCACATAATTGTTATACTGTAGCGGCATTTCTGGCTAGACATGACAATGGTTGTATTTATTGTAAGGCCTGTTTAGTGTCTTTTTCAGTGTCTATCTGGTCACTTGTGGATTAGGTCTTTCTTGCTAGAGTTGCCTTTTTAAAGTGCACGTGTGCGCAAAAACATATTCCGTACAGCTGCCCATTTATTGTCTCTAAAAATACTGATTATGACACCTTTAGTCATGCCAGAAATCTAGTGAGCTCATACCTTCAGTAGAGATGACAATGCTGCACTGTCATTTTTATCAGCCTTGACCTTTTACCTCTGTGAACTACAGAACACCTCTGCCTGTGTTATGAAGATGGGGAACTTTTCTGTACTCCATGCACTCCCTGTACTAGCGTGACAATCCCACTTCTCCATAGGTACAGATAATGTCCCCCCCACACATGCTGTGGTTTCTCCCACTGAGCACTACAGGACACAGTAGCAACATATCAGGGGGAGGGTGAAACCACAGTGCACCGGGGGAGGGGAACAATCTATATCGCACTCAGATGTGTCAGATAGCAGCAACTCTCATAGATCTGCTAAAGAGCTAAGATTGAAATCTGTGCCCAGCAATCAGGCAAGTATGAAGCATCTTCTGTTACAGGGCTCTCCTGCATCATTGTTTTATCCTGATGACAGGGTCATTTTCACAATTTTCTGTGTTTATTGAAAAAGGCAGTTTAGTGTCTAATAAGTGTGTTTGTGTTGCGGGGTGTATAGATTGTTATATGGTTGTATCTTGTCCAAGGTCACCCGGAGGATTTGGCTGCACTAAGGTACTTGAGGGAACAATGGATGTGTGTAGTGTTTACAGTTCACTGAAGAAGAAATGTTCTGCTTAAACAATTACAACTGAAAGGGCACTAAATATCAGTCTGGTTTTGTGTAGTCTCTTTAAATAAACCGTTTCCTGGCAACTGAGGCAGTAGATGGAATCGTCTGTGCTTAGAAGGTTTATATGTACACCTGTGAAATTGTTTGCTTGAAGAGAACCCAATAAGCCAATATGTGCGTTAAAGCAGATTGATTTTTTTTTCTCGAAAGTTAGGTATTGAAAGAACCATTCCAAGGCACCAATATACAACCAGAACTTAACTTTTAGGGACACTCTCTCCATATTTAAGGTAAATCTATGGATGCGTGAAAATGGAAGATGAGCACAGTGCCATTCAGAGGACGCTTTGCATTCTCCAAATGAAAAGCATTCTCTGATTGGACAAGGTGAAGAGGTGGGTGGTGAAATCACACTCTCCACCTGGTCCAATCATAAAACACTTTGCATTAATTGAGAAAATGCATGTGAGTGGCCACCCTCCTGTGTTTAGAATGCTGCAGACCAGCCAATCAGCATGGGACCCAGAAGCAATTGGAGATCACTGTAGTGGTGTCCAGTTCAGTGAATTCCAGCTTCAGGGAACCTGCCAGATACGGTATATATCCAGGTTGGACCAATGTAACTATGTAAGAATATATTGTACTTGTACAGGGGGAACAAAGCGTTAAGGATAACAAAACCTGCTTAGGATGAGAGGGTTTGTGCTGGGGATTTGGGGGGAATTTGTGCTATCAGGTTCACACCAGGTGCATTGTGGTAACACATGTAAAATCAGGCATTTTCCTGCACTGCACAAAAATGCACTGCCTTTTGCAGACATTCCCAGATGCCATTAATTCTTAATGGCACCCCCACACATCTACCAAATGTGCATGTGTTCACACCCGCTGAAACGCATGGAAGTTCGGTACCATGTGTTTTTGTGCAGTAGCATTTTGAAAATCATGCTCTACATTTTTTGCATCTTTCAACCCATTGAAAATGCAATGTGTGGGAATATGCAAAAAAAAAAAAAAAAAGTGTGCACTCTCAGATGCACCTTCTGGTTTGAATGAGCCCTAAGACTGATGTTCCAAGATTGTGTGCTCAGTTCTGAAGGTTGAGAAACACTGCTTTTAAATTGTATCTAAGCCCAAAAGTGTAACGTTCTAGCTTATCATTTATCGAATATGGTGGCTGCATTTTTTTTTGTTTACATGGTCAGTCTGTAACACTTCCTGTTCTAGGGTGACACCACTCATTGTCACCCTAGGACAGGACAGAGAGGCTTCTCTTCTCCCTATCTCAATAACATAGCAGAGAGGTATTCTGCATCTGCATTTCAGAGTTAACCTTGGCAGTAAGAAAATAGTCACCTGAGATAATACTGAAGAGTGCACAGGACAGTGAACAGCACTGGATTTCTGACAGCATTGACAGTTTTTGTTTTCGCTTTTTAACCACCTCCCGCCATATAGTAATATGATGGACGCAAGGTGGTTCTCTCGTGCTGGGAGGACGTCATATGTTGTCCTCCCATTCTCAGTGCACATGCGCGGCTCAGGGAGCGTGCGGCGATCGGCGGTGCGTTGTGTCCCTCGGACAAAGCGGATCACCAATCACGGAAAGAGCCGAAGATGTCGGCTCGGTCATGTGATCAGCTGTGTCCAATCACAGCTGATCACATGTAAACAGGGAAATGCCAGTTATCGGCATTTCTCTCCTCTCGAGCTGTCATGCTGACAGCTCGAGAGGAGAGGAGAGCCGGTAATCGGCTTTGCGCGGAGGGGACATGTACACTGATCATCAGGGCACTGATGATCAGTGTGCCCTGATGATCAGTGTAGCCCCAGCAGTGCCTTGTGTCAGTGCTCATCAGTGCCTCGTCCCAGTGCCAGTGCCCATCAAGGCCACATATCATTGCCTACTAGTGCACATCAATGCCACATATCAGTGCCCATCTGAGCTGCCTTTCAGTGCCACCTATCAGTGTTGCCTATCAGTGCCATGTATCGGTGATGCCTTTCAGTGCCCATCAGTGATGCCTGTAAATGCCCATCAGTGCCTCCTCATCAGTGTCCATCAGTGCAGCCTATCAGTGCCCATTACTGCAGCCTCATTAGCGCACATCAGTGAAGGAGAAAAATCACTTATTTACAAAATTTTATAACAAAAACTAAAACTCTTTTTTTCAAAATTTTCAGTGGTTTTTGGTTTAAGAAAAAATAAAAAACTCAGAGGTGATTAAATACCACCAAAATAAAGCTCTGTCACAAAAAAATGATAAAAATTTCATATGGGTAGAGTGTTGCATGACTGCGCAATTATCACTCCAAGTACGACCGCGCTCAAAGCTGGAAATTGGCCTGGGCAGGAAGGGGGTATAAGTGCCCTGTAGGCTTGTGGTTAAACAGATCCAAACACCCCCCCCCTTTTTTATTTGTATGTTAAATGGACCAAAAGGGGGCAAATAACAAAAGTCAATTGATGAGGTTTACATAAACTTTAACCTTTGACTGCTGCTATAAATACTCCAATGGCGGCAGTAATGAGGATGTTAAAACACTCAACAACAATAATAACCTAGAGTTTAGCATCTCTTAATGTCTTTCTTGTTGATTTGGGCCACCTAATTGCTTCTGCATGCATTTGCAGCACAGAACAATGATGCAGATTAGAAAGTTAGCGATGCACTGAATCCTGGACTGTGTACTTCTGGGTCTGTCTCTCCTATAAAGTAATAGCTCTTGGATCAGCATTCAACCAACATTCTCTCGGTACAGATTTTATGTAAAGCATACATTTTACCTGTGGGTAGACACAGGTGAAATGACTGTCTGGGACTTCAGCAGTGAGATATGCCTTAAAGTGATTCTAAAGGTTCATTTTTTTTTTTTTTGTAATATAACAAACATGTCTATACTTGCCTACAGTGGGAAGAGAGCAGCCTGGATCCTCCTCTATTTAGGTCCCGCACATGCTCTCCTGGCTCCTCCTGTCTGTTGGGTGCCCCCACAGCAAGCAGCTTGCTGTGGGGGCACCCCCTGCTCCGTGTTTTCATTCACACCTGGAGCCACGGCTTGGCCTCAACCCCTCTCTCCCCCTCATTGGTTGACTGGCTGTGATAGACAGATTGGCTGCCGCTTTCTGTCTCTGCCAATGAGGAGGCAGATACCTAGGACAGCTTAGGCTGTCATTCATATCGCTGGATCGCGATGAGGCTCAGGTAAGTATTGAGAGAGCTGGGGGAGCTGCTGTGCACAGGTTTTTAACCTTCATGCTTAGAATGTATGAAGGTAAAAATCCTTGAGTGTTTACTACCTTTTTATTTCAAACCAAGAATAATGTAGCCTGTCTGCTGCTTATGCATTCTTCCGAACGTAAATTACATAAAAACTCCAACAAACTGAGTAAAACCCTCTGTGCCACCCCATGCCACTTGATTCATAAACCTAGGATGGCAGACAGACATAGAGGCAAAAATTGAACACACCTTAAAAAATAGGTGTTTACTTTGGCACTTGCTTGTCTACCGCTATCTACTGACTATTGGGTTACTGTATTATCATGTCTAGGGGTACTTAAGATTTATAAACATAGATGGGCATTTCCCAATACCTCCCCTCCAATGAAGAAAAATGATGTATGGCTTAAGTCCTAATTGTCACTCTCTAGGGTGGCCATGCACGTTACCGTCTGACAGTACAATCTCTTACATATTGATACTGTAATATGAGGGCCAACCTAAAAAAACATTTAATTTGTATCCAGTTTGGCAGGCCCTTGTACCACATAGTTGTTAGTAGATTTAATAGAGATTGTGTTTGTTTAAAGCTGCTGTTTAAGGCCAGTGGCTTTCCATACTTTGAGTCACTAACCTGGAATGCAGGTATGCAGATTAATTAATTTTTTTTCTCTCATTTACCTGTAGTGCGTTCTCGTTCCAGGTCACTGACTCAGAGTTATGAAGCTTATTTAAAATGTGAGTCAGGAAACCAGCATTTTTAAATGGAGGTGTAAGTGGTGACAGGCTTCATGTTCCTTTCATGACCTCTTTCCTTTAAACCTTTCATTTTTTTTGTTACTTGGTTTAACTGGAGTTGATTGAGGAATGATTGTGTGAAATTTGAAAAAACGCCTACTGTTTTGTAATGCCTTAAATTAGAATACCTGCCTAACACTAACTTATTTAAAATATACCCCCCCCTCCTCCTCACATTTCTACCTATGCTGCCTAACCTGTGTGCAAAAAAAAAGTGTGTACTTGCCTACTTTCAGCCTTCTTCAGTCCGTTCACCTGAGCTCCAGCTGCCCTGTGTCCGTCAGTGGATGCTGCAGGGGAGAGGAGGGAGCGCCAACAACAGCTGCGGTATGGGAGCATATGGGTACTGCCTCCGCTCTTGGTATTCCCAGGCGTTGTCGTGCTCTCTTCTCTACTGCAGCTGCTGTTGACTAGCACAGGGGTTCACATGACTGGATCAGAGCAGCCCGAAAATAGGTAGGTATGTATATGCATTTTTTTTTTTTTTTTTTAACACTGGTTGGGTAGCAGGAGGGGAGAGGGGACATTTTTAAACATCGTGTTAGGCAGGTATTCCATTTTAAACAATTGTATTTACCTGGTTTGAGGGTTTAGTGTATAATTGTTTTCAACACTGTAGAATTCAGTCATGTTACAAAGTAAGTACACCATGTGGAAGACGTGTTTTTTTTTTTTTTTTTTTTTTTTTTTTTTTCTACCTGTTCTGTACCCCAAGGTACTGTCTACTCCAGCAAGCCTTTTGGTTTTACAGTGACGTCCACATCTGTTTGCATACTGCCGGCCTTTCAGGAGCATGCTAGTAAATGAATGACTACTCAACCTCCCTCTAACACACCAAAAGGGTCATTCAGTATGAGCTCCTAATGTCAGTGGGGCAAGACACAAATTAGAAAATTTGTATAAAAACTTTTATTTGCACCAAATTCTACTGTGTGTGTGTGTGTGTGTGTGTATATATGTGTGTGTGTGTATATGTGTGTGTGTGTGTGTATATGTATGTATGTGTGTATGTGTGTGTATATGTGTGTGTATATATATATATATATATAAATCAGATTCTTTTAAAGTGGTGTACTGTACATAGTGAAAGCTTGCAATGGATCACCACCAACCAGAATGGGTGACTTCATTAGTAAAGACCTATTCGAACTACAGCATTCTGAAAAATGTGTCCCGAGTTTGCAAGTTTTGTAACACTGCAGTTGATTGCCATGTGTATACACTGCAGCATAGAGGAAGCTGTGGTTGTGTAGCTGTCACATGAACAGAAGGCATATTCTGGTTAAATCTATGTAGCATGTAAATTCTTCCTTTCCTCTTGATTCAGTCATTTTCAGTTCTGCCATTTGAAATGAGGTTCTGTGCATGGTACCAACTAGATATCATTATTGCAGCCTTCTTCCTCTTCTTGGTTGATACACATCCAGCAAAGATGATTGGTGCTTAGATTACTTATATTTTGAGCAGCTGTGAAGAACGCCTGTAGACTAATAGGTTTGTCAGCAGAAAAGATCAAAACTCTGTTCGTCCCAGCCCAGCTTTCATCTAGGGACTCCAGCATATACATAGTAAAATGATTGCTCCTCTTTCTTAAAATATAAATACATTTCTTCCAGCGCTCAGGAATGGCTATACCTAGTTAGGGACACCTTCTGTGCTATGAGGGGGTAGCTAGGTGACTTATGTTTTTATTGAACCCGGCATGTAAATCATTGCATGGCACCCACACTGTATGTTTTTGAGGCAGACTGATATTGTCTATATGTACTTTCCCCCAGGAATAGGGGTCCCCCCCCCCCAAGAAAAAGAGGAAGAAAAAAAAAGCTGTAACCATTTGGCATGGATGTTGCCATTGTTGATTTCTATTAATATACAGTGCCCTTGATTTCATGCAGACTCCGAGGATTCATTACTTCTGAAACTAAACATGCAGATTAGATTATGAGTTTGAAACCTAGAACAAACTTGTAGATTAAGAAAGTGGCAACTAGCATTTTCAGAGGGGGGTCAGTAATGGAAGCCTTGTGTTGTTTAGTTTGCATTCCTGTTGGATACAGCACCCATTGTAGGTTGTATAGGTCTTAAAGTATCCTTGATGTTTTACAAGCCTCTTTTGTGTGTATAGGGAAGCTATACCTAATTATATAAGCAGGCTTTGCTTACTAATAGTAAATGATGGCAATCTATGGGTCGGGTCTGATCTGAAACCTGTGCTGATAGTATGCAGGCTGTCATTGCTGACTTTCTGAAAATGCTAGTTACCTAAATGGCTCATGGCAGCCACTAGGAGGTGCACAATTGTGGTGTCAAGCCTGTATTGCAAATGGCAGGGCAGAGGAAGATTGAGGGGCCACCGTTCCATGTGGAATTTGAGGATGTGCAGAATTTGAAACAGGAGGAGTGCTCATATGCTATTCAGTTGAAATTGAATTGCTTATGGAGATTTTGGAAAATGTTGAGGAAGGTGAACTTAGACTTTAAATTTTCAACAATGGCAATCTTATTTGTCTCTAAACCGAGGCTTCTTTTATAGCAAACTTTTACTCTGCCAAATGCTATCCTTTTAAAGTCATTGTAAATACAGATGTGTGTTGTATTTTTTATTTTTTTTGTAGCAAACGGGTTTCTCCTTTTTACCTGCTCTGTGCAAGGACGTTGCGGCCCCAAACCTTTTTTGGGGTACCCTGCCGGTGCTCCTGGCTCCTCCTCTTTTCAGTTGTACCCCATAGGAAAACTCTTTCTATGCGGGCCCACCTGTGTGCTTGCTCCCTAGCACTGTTGTCTGTGTCTGTAAACACAGACATCGGGACTTGGCCCTGCCCCGCTTCGCCTGCTTCCTCATCACTGGCTTTGAGTGACAGCAGCAGGAGCCAATGGTTCCCGCTACCTTGGCAAAATTGATGAGACCAGGAAGTGAGGGGAGAGAAGAGCTGCAGGCGTGCACAGTGCTGGAAGGACTGCATTAAGGTAAAATACGTTTAGGCTGTATAACCACTTTAAACCTTGTAAGACAAGTTGGCTGTGAATAAGAAAGCACTGACAATGGGCTTCCTTGCAGATGCAGTTTGGCTTAGGCCCACTGTGAGGCAGCTACCATGTTAATGGTGCAGGATATCACTAAGCTATCTTCCTCATCTAGACCCTGCTCATTCCTCATAGGTACTCATGAAGCTTA